AAAAATGTCAGGGTTTGCATTTTTCTAAGTCTTTTCATTCACAATTATTGCATAACATGCAAAAAATTGTCAGGCAATGGTTTTTATTAATACTCAATTTAATGCAATGACAAAGGGAGATAATCAGGGTTGTTATCGATCTGCTCCTCCTTAAGAATAAATCTATTGAAGTCTGGTGTGAAAAAAAATCCCCAAATATTGCATAAAATCCCAGTAAATGCATAAAAGCAATTAAGGACGGGGTTAGACAGGGGTCATCTTAACTCGGTTTTCATTAAATATTTCCGAACATGGCTCCGGCTATTCTTGAAACACAAGCATGTGAGTAGAGGGAAAGTGTCATTCAGTAAAGTATACGCAAGTTAAAATTTCCCACCATCAACAAGTTTGAACTAAGGAGGTTTGAATTGTTGATATTTGTCTGGTGATTGGTTGAGCTTTATGGTAGTGCTTGAGCAGCTTATGTTTGAGCAAGTCAATATTGACTCTTTAATCAATTTGTTTATGATCTAAAGCCTTTGTTTGTAAACATTTTCTCATCCATTTCTTAATATGTTCCCATTTACTACAACTTATGTCTGTGGTGTAATAGGTAGGAAAAGTAAACTTTGCTTGCATATGGGATCTCAGTGATTTTTTTCATTGCTAAAATGTTTGAAAGTAAAATTTGTCTGAGACAAGCTAAAATATTGCATCTAATATTCAGCTTGGATTATCAAAACCAGTGCAACACAAATAGTCATTTATTACAAAAAGTACGAAGAGGTGCATCAATAAATGATGAACTTCATCTGTATCATGTACATTGAATTGGCACTGAATACAGATGCATGCATACAACATTTTTCCCAATATTTTTAAAAGAAAATTTAGATGTGTAGTATATACAGAGTTATTTTTGTGCTGTTTTATTTTCACCTTTTCACACTTTCACACAATTTTGCCCTGTTTTATATTCACCCAGTTACAATTCTGTTTAAAGCCGCTTAATCCGAAACAGGCACATATTATCTTACACAATAAAAGTACGTCATTACATAAATAATATATAAAAATAAATTATAAGATTGATTTAGCTGTTAATTACAACAATCCTTACATGGAAAACAGAGATCAAAAACCTTATTGACAAACAGAAGTTCCTGATGGGAAGTTAAGATCTGTTGTGAAGTCACCTTTGAAAAAACTAAATTTATCGGTTATATCTAATTATGAAGATAATTCAAACCCAAGTATTTTTTTCCATTAGTAGAAGCCTAAGTCATAATATAACTTTTAAAAATCAAGAAATTAATTGAATATAATCCAGGGTAATTTTTATATGCATATTAATTTTAATGTGCATATTTAAAGAATAAAGGAAAATCAGATATTTTTAAAGATTTTTTTAAAGGAAGTTTAGTAACGAAGGCTAAAATATTGTCTGTGCACAGGTACATGTATAAGTACTTTCTTGTGAAAAAAATGCTCGGATTTGTTCTGCATGAGATATACATGTAAGCAATAAATTTAATTTTTCGAGGGTGATTTCACGCGATATCAACATAGGATTATTTTTGTGTGACCTAACAAAAATTATTTTTTTAACTTTAGAATTTTGATATCTTTTAAAAGAAAAAGACTCTGGGGATATAATTTGACAAAAGTTGAAACAATTTATGGACAATTATTTTTCAAGAAGAAAAACGAATATATTTTTTTTGCGATTAGAATTGGACTAAGCGGCTTTAAGAAATCATGCTGTATTTTTAATTTGTCCTGTTTTGAATTCGCCCACCTGTGGGTAGGGCAAAAGGGGCAAAAATAAAATGAGGGCAAAAATTTCCATGTATACAGTACTTAATATTTGGTTTCATATTCACCTCCACTGATACTGTCTATCTTTTTTTAGCATTTCAATTCAATTTCATAAAAATATGCAACTTTTCATTTTCTTGATTTTGTAGTTTTCGTTCCAATATTTTTTAAAGCTTTTATCTTGAACATTTATCATTAAAACAAATCCTGGCAATGAAAACAAAACTCAAGACTTTTCTTATTAAAAAAAAATATTAAATTTTTAAAGAATAAATAATTGATATTCAAAATTCATCGACAGGATCGAAAGTTAAATTAAATTTGGTGAACAAATACTGCATGGTCATTTTAACTCATGCAAAACTATTAACTACACTAAGAGTAAGAGCTGCATTTATAAACAGAATATTGTAATATTTTTATTTGGAAAATATAATTTAAAATAATTAATTTGTGTAAAGATGCCATTCTATATTGTTTTTGTTAAAAAAAAAATTAATTTAAAGTAATTTTTTTTTAAAATCTATTTTATATTTATTCCTAACCCCAGAAATTTGTCCTAGCTAGCTTTTATACACTTTAATTCATTTCTAGTTATAACAAACTTAATAGCAAGAAATATTTTATAACATAAATTTGGCATGTTTTTAATGAAAACATGAAATACAGTCTCTTAATTTTTGTGAACCAACTTATTTTTTAATGTTATTATATAGGGGGGAAGTGAAAAAATGCTTCAACTTTCTCAATTTACACATCTCTGCTAAAGTTTAGTACATGGTGACAGAAAAAGACAAGATTATAATTAAAGTGAATTGATTGAAATAATTTTAATTACAGTTTAATTTTTTTTTTTTTTGAAAAAAAAAATATTTATAAAAGGGGGAAAATTTAGATACACAATAATTGTTTTCTTTTTTAATATGATGCAGATTATATAATAATTAAGATGTGCATGAAAATATTTCTATGGTGTAATTTAAAAAAAAAAAAATACATATGACGAAAGAAGAAAATTTCTATTACATGTTTTTTTTTAAATGTAAATTGTGTACTCCTTCTTTACCCTTTTTTTAGCTCACCTGAGCCGAAGGCTCAAGTGAGCTTTTCTGATCACATTTTGTCCGGCGTCCGTCTGTCTGTCCGTCTGTCTGTCTGTCTGTCTGTCTGTCCGTCTGTCTGTCTGTCTGTAAACTTTTCACATTTTCGACTTCTTCTCAAGAACCGCTGGGCCAATTTCAACTAAACTTGCCACAAAGCGTCCTTGGATGAAGGGGATTCAAGTTTGTTCAAATGAAGGGCCACGCCCTCATTCAAGGGGAGATAATTGGGAATTAATGAAAAATTGGTGGTATCTTTTAAAAATCTTCTTCTCAAGAACCACTGTGCCAGGAAAGATGAAACTTATGTGGAAACATCCTCAGGTAGTGTAGATTCAATTTTGTTCAAATCATGACCCCCGGGGGTAAGGTGGGGCCAAAATGGCCGACCAAAGTTTTACATAGAAATATATAGGAAAATTCTTTAAAATTCTTCTTTTCAAGAATGACAAAGCCATAATTCATCATATTGATATGGAATCATCCTTAGGTAGTGAAGATTCAAGTTTGTTCAAATCATGACCCCCGCGGGTAGGGTGGGGCCACAATGGCCGACCAAAGTTTTACATAGAAATATATAGGAAAATTCTTTAAAAATCTTCTTTTCAAGAATAAGAAAGCCATGATTGATCATATTTATACGGAAGCATCCTCAGGTAGTGAAGATTCAAGTTTGTTCAAATCATGACCCCCGCGGGTAGGGTGGGGCCACAATGGCCGACCAAAGTTTTACATAGAAATATATAGGAAAATTCTTTAAAAATCTTCTTCTCAAGAATGACAAAGCCATAATTCATCATATTTATTTGGAAGCATCCTCAGGTAGTGTAGATTCAAGTTTGTTCAAATCATGTCCCCCGGGGGGAGGGCGGGGCTACAATGGCCGACCAAAGTTTTACATAGAAATATATAGGAAATTTCTTCTCAAGAATGACAAAGTCATAATACATCATATTTTTATGGAAGCATCCTCATGTAGTGTAGATTCAAATTTATTCAAATCATGACCCCTGGGGTAGGGCGGGGCCAGAATGGCTGACCAAAGTTTTACATAGAAATATATAGGAAAATTCTTTAAAAATCTTCTTCCCAAGAATAGCAAAGCCATAATTTACCATATTTATATGAAAGCGTCCTCAGGTGGTGTAGATTCAAATTTGTTCAAATCATGACCCCCAGGGGTATGGCGGGGGCAAAATGGCCGACCAAAGTTTTACATAGAAATATATAGGGAAATTCTTTAAAAATCTTCTTCCCAAGAATAGCAAAGCCATAATTTATCATATTTATGTGGAAGTATCCTCAGGTAGTGTAGATTCCAATTTGTTCAAATCATGACCCCCAGGGGTATAGCGGGGGCAAAATGGCAGACCAAACTTTTACATAGAAATATATAGGTTTAGGAAAATTCTTTAAAAATCTTCTTCTCAAGAATCGCAGAGCAATAATTAATCATATTCATATAGAAGCATCCTCAAGTAGTGTAGATTCAAGTTTGTTCAAATCATGACCCCCGGGGGTAGGGCGGGGCCAAAATGGCCGACCAAACTTTTACATAGAAATCTATAGGAAAATTCATTAAAAATCTTCTCAAGAATAGCAAATCCATGATTGGTCATGGGACTACTTTTGGATTTAAACTTTTCAATAATAAATCAATTTCTACTTTTTCCTAGCCACAATGCTCAGTTGAGCAATGTGGCCCATGGGCCTCTGGTTTTATTGTTGAGTTTATCCTCCCTATGAATAGTAAGAGATTGTTTCAAATTATAAACAGTTGTTTAAGGTTGATTTATTCTGGTGTCTTCATATTCCTTCCAAATTCCAATCTTTACCAAAATTGGTTTTAGTCTGTGAAAGCAGGAATTATATGTTTGCTTGAAGCATCCAGTGGAAGATTGAAATTATATGCTTCATTGTTGTAGTGAATATCCTATTCCATTCACATTAAAGCAACTGTTAAAAAAAACTTCTTTCACCAGTAAGAGATATGTACATGTATTTGAATACAATACACTTGTATTGTTTTCAAAGAATGCAACTTACTAATGAACAAGTTCAAGATAACAGTCACAATAATTAGAGAAAACAGAAATAATTTTCATATTTTTAATTTTCATAATAGAAATTCAACAGATTCATAATTGTACAAATTTGGCAGCATATGTGTGAACAAATAATTTATATACAAAAACAGCACTTGAAAACTTAACAAAAAACAGTTCAACATTGGTCTTAAATTAAAAATAGTCCATGCTCTTCAAGGCCAGCTGTCGTTTTTTCTTGGCGATTTCGGTGAGGGTACGGGTGTTGTTGGACCGATTACGTTTGTTGGCGAACCACTTCTTTACTTGCTCGGCGGTGATGCCCCCCGCTGCGGACAGCTGCTCGATGGCGTCAGTGTTGGGGTAGGGATGTTCTAGATGGTTGTCGTACCACTTCTCCATCAGTTGAACGGCTTTCTTTGAGAGGAGAGGTCGCGGTTTGATGGCTCTAGAACTGTAGTTCATCTGCTGGGTTTTCTCGAGTAGGTTCAGGCTCTGCTCAACTCGGTCCATGATCTGATGAAGCTGAGAGTCGTAGTGACAGTTCATGGTGTACTTCACGTCTGATGCCAGGTCCTTCTGCTGAAGTGCACAGAATCTCTCTGTCTCCACTTCTGAGGCTTGGTGATGGTAGAACTCGGAAAGTTTTCGCACATCGTCAGGGAAGGTAGATATGAGTTTGTTAAAGCGCTCCTGAAGCATCTGCTCCCTTGAGAACACATCACTGTTGGGCTGTGTTGTCAAGGCATCAAAGAGGGATTGTGGAAGAAAGTCTTTGGTAGGAGCAGTAGAGTTGCATTCATTGGCTAATGCAGCTTGAAGGTCGTTGAAGAAGGGGTTGTTGTGAAGAGAACTGTCTGGGGATCCAAGCAGATTATTGAGCGAGTCGTTGAATCGAGAATCACCCACAAAACTGTTGTTTTTGTAAGGAGTGGCTGAGAGCATTGTCTGTGAGTGAACAGTGGCAGGGGTAGAGGTCTTCAAAGGCTGAGTCTTGTTGGTGACCTTAGGAGGTTCGATTTCTTCATCCAGTTCCAGAACTTCACAGCTGGACAGAGCACTGCGGTGACGAACACGGACATTTTCACCACACAACACAACATGGTCCTGAGACACACCGGAATCATCAAAGTCTGTGCTCTCCTTGGAGGGGTCAAACACATCAGTCAGGTCGGCAAGGTCATCACTGAAGGAGGTGTCCTTGGAATTGTCACTAAGGATTGTCGTGGCGATGACCTCTGAGAGGTCAATCACGGGAGGCTGACCGATTGTTGACATACTTCTCTCAGTTGCAGACTCAATGTCATCAATGTAGTGATAAGCTGGGTAATGCACTTCCATTGTAGACTAATCTTTAGTTTTCGCCAAATTGATTAACTCAAGGTCAGAAGATTTGAACTTTGCACGAAAAGTGTCATGGTCAAAGCTCAGGTGTCAGGGCTTTTTGTTCGAGTAGGAGATGGCACAAGACAAAAGTTACAAATTTTCATTGGTCAGTTTCTAAATTTTTTTAACTCAGGTTTTAATTTTTAGATTTTCATTGGTCAATCTTGTATAATTTGAGTTGCTCATCTTTAGAGGGCTAATTAATTATGATGTTTTGATTGTAGACAGTGCAATAATTAGTTGCTCAAAGTGTCCTGTATGTTTTCATAGTCCCTGCTGTGCAATTAAAAGAATTGTCAACAGGGCACACTTATAATGATTGCTTTAATAACAGTTAGAGGAATATTTAATTATTCTTCTTCTTCATTGGATTTAAAATAATATTTTCAGTTCTTTTGTGTTATAAATTTAAAGTTAAAAACAAATATTTCAAATTAGTATTTTTTGAAATTTTATTTAATGTTGAAATAATTCAAAATGTATACTCCTAATTGAAAAAAAAAATTATTTACTACTAGGGTTACAGAGATTTTATTGTCTTTTTTTATCATTAGGTGTGTGAATTAAAAGGTTCTTTTTTATATGAATATAATGAACAAATTTCTTTTGCGGAAGACATACATTATCATGATTATATTGCCATAAAAGACCGTGCAATTACAATTGTAATTTAAATATCATTCTTTAAAGTAAATTTACTAAATTGATGTCATTTTAAAATTGTACATAAATAAAATATACTTTTTAATAATAAAATTAATATATATTAAATATGTTTTGTAAATAATTGTGTTAGAGTCAAATCCAGCTTGATTTTTTTTTTTTTTTCCATATTCCAGAATTTTTTTTTCTTTTTTTTTTTGCAAAATATTATATTCTCTTAGAAATATCTGGTAAAGAATTGATTTTAGAATTTTTCTAAAATCATATTTATTTGCTTTTATATTATTTTTTTAAGTCTAATATATTTAAAATTTACCAACAACATAATTTTCACTTATATTAGGGTAAGTTTTAAGATTTTGGGAAATGTGTTTCAAGATTCCTTTGTGTGGTAGCTACTAGTGTAGATGACAAAAATCTGTAATATTTTCGGAAACATCTGAGAGGTGACTTATGTGACAAGTTTTATGACAATTGATAAATTTTACTTATTTGGGATTGAAAATTGTGCCAGATCCCCTACTGAAAACAGGAAATTTTAGAACAAGCACATTTTTATTAATTGTATTAGATTTATGTTAATAATTTTAGTTTTGGAGAATAAATTTCCCAGAAACAAAAATTTTAGTTCAAACTTTATACAGCTCAAAGAAGTCACATTCAGTGTAAGTTCATGCATTTGTATCCAGTCCTTCAAAATTTTCTTTTCTTAATAAGCATTAATTTGAAGAAAAAAAAATAATACAAGCTAAAGCATAAGACATTTCTTTTTGCCAGCAGATGAATATATGTAAACTCTTTTAATTTATTCCTAGCATGAAGAAATATTCATAATATACGTACACAGTCTAGTAATTTTAGCAAACATAGATAAATCCATTCAAAACCAGAAATTGTCATAGAGTTGCAAAATTTGAATTTACCAAAACAAGATACTCTTTAATAGTTAACAATTAAATTTTAAAGACTAAAAAGTAATTTTATATTTTGGTCAAATTATTCCAACATTTTTGAATTAAAAAAAAATTATATTTATTTTCTATCAGCAAAATAGATAAGATATGGATGAAATAACCTTTTGTACATTATTTTCTATTCAGTAAATAATATCTGTAATTAGATTTATTAAATATTCTTTTTCAGAAGCTAATTAATGTTTTCATATTGCAATTATAAATACCACATTTGATACTACATTTTAAACCTATTAATTACTCATCTATTTGCTCAATTAATTAAAGAGGGCTTAAGTGGAAAGCAAATAGTTGATTTAATTTTCTACAGCAAATAATCTATGTTTGTCTTTGTTAATGAAGCTTAATTTTACTGGAAAAGAAACATGCCTTCAATATTCTAATGATCGAACAAAAATAGAACTACATACGGTCAATATGCTTACTTAAATGCTCATAGAAGAATAAATCTTTAAATTTATTATTTTAAGATTATCAATATCAAACACTTTCAATAAAAAAAAATCATGCATTTTTTCAGTGATTTCGGGAATAAATAATACAACTTTACCTAGAAGTATATTTTCAAATCGAAAGACCTTTAAAGAAAAAAGTTAATGTTAATTTTTTACTTGGTGATGCAGACCATTCAAGTTTTAATATTTATTTGAGTTTTTTTTTCATTGAAAGAAATTTCAATATGATATCAATTTATTTTGAATTAATATTAAAATCAATATTTCAGCAGAATTGTTTAAAAGTAAAATTTGAAAAGTTCCTATTTGAATATTTGTCAAATTTTTCAAAATTAAAAAAAATTAGAAAGTATGTCCAGTAAAATAATTAAATAATATAAATGCTGAATTTGAAGGCAATAATTAACACCAAATAAGTTTTTTGAATATTCCAGAAATTATAATTTTTAATGTTAATTTATAATGTTTGTCTTTGTTAATGAAGCTTAATTTTACTGGAAAAGAAACATGCCTTCAATATTCTAATGATCGAACAAAATAGAACTACACACGGTCAATATGCTTACTTAAATGCTCATAGAAGAATAAATCTTTAAATTTATTATTTTAAGATTATCAATATCAAACATTTTCAATAAAAAAAAAAATCATGCATTTTTTCAGTGATTTCGGGAATAAATAATACAACTTTACCTAGAAGTATATTTTCAAATCGAAAGACCTTTAAAGAAAAAAGTTAATGTTAATTTTTTACTTGGTGATGCAGACCATTCAAGTTTTAATATTTATTTGAGTTTTTTTTTCATTGAAAGAAATTTCAATATGATATCAATTTATTTTGAATTAATATTAAAATCAATATTTCAGCAGAATTGTTTAAAAGTAAAATTTGAAAAGTTCCTATTTGAATATTTGTCAAATTTTTCAAAATTAAAAAAAATTAGAAAGTATGTCCAGTAAAATAATTAAATAATATAAATGCTGAATTTGAAGGCAATAATTAACACCAAATAAGTTTTTTGAATATTCCAGAAATTATAATTTTAAGCAACATAATGATTATGAATTTTGGATGAGGAAAATTAATTAGTATATTTCTGCCGGCATTTACTTTTGATTGTAAAAAGCTTTAGAGAGTGATTCATCAAACAAGAATTTTTTGTGGGGCCAATTTCATATTGTACCAAAATAGTTTAGAAATACAAACTCTATAATTAATAAAAGTTTCTGAATTTAAAAAAAAAAATTGGTAAAGGTGAATCAATATTAGAGTTTATATCAAGCAACTTTGAAATTGAAAAAAAAAAAAATGGAAGAAGTATATAAATCTCAAAGCTTTACCAATGCCTTTTAATAAATATTAAGTGAAATATCTACAACAAAATGGTTTATCAATCATGAATATCAATTTAATTGAAAGAAGTTTTTGAAAAAAGTGATGTCATTTACATTTTATATCCTTTGGATCATGACATGAAATGAAAATAAAAATCACCAAAATTTTCAATGACATAAATTTTCAATGCTCGGCATTTTGATGAAAAGAAATAATAATTGAAGTTTCTAAATTTTACTTGTCACTTGAAGAACTGAGTTCTGTTGTTGCGAGAGCGATTCCTTTTGTTGGCAAACCATTTTCGAACCTGTTCCACAGTAAGTCCGCAATCTAAAGCCAATCTTATTGTCTGATCTCTGGATGGGTACGGATTGCTGATGTTATCCGTGAACCAGCTATCCAGGATTTTGACTGAGCGCTTGGGTAAAAGTCGAGTCTTCCTTGTTTCTCCGCAGCACGACTCAAGTCCACCTTCTGAGTGAGATCGAGAATCGTCTTGAATCACTTGAATTCTCTCTAGAACTTGGTTAATTATTTGTAGAAATTGTCCCTCCACCTCATCCAGGTCACTGGAATCCATGGAACAAGCCGCTCCAGATTCCAGTTTCTCTTTGTGATGCTTCTCAGCAAAGGTGATTTGGTATTGATAGAATTCCATAAGCTGTCTGGATTTTTCCATATCTGTCTTTTCCATTTCTTTCAGTTTCTTCATCATGTATTTCTCCTGTTTCCGGACATGGTAAGGTAAGGGAAGTTCCTCTGTTCTTGTTCGGTATTTCATACTTCGACTTCTTGAACGGTGCACGTCCTGACATCTTGGATCAATGTCATTTTCACATCCTTGGTAAGCAATGTCTCTAGAATGGAACCATTGATTTTTAGCACCATCCTCATTGTCATGTGTTGAGTAGCTTGATTTTGAGCTGACACTGGGTTCGGTATGATAATGAAAGGCATCTGGGTGATGAGGCACAAACTGTGGCCAGTGAGGAAGATTCCCATTCAGAGACATGAAGTTCTGATGTTGGTATCGGTTGTGATGATACTGGTCATTTTCGGACACACTGCTAGGAATGCTGGGAATGCTAAAGTCAGATGACCAGTAGGACGGAGGATCAGAACCATGTACTCCTCCTCTGTCGTAGGAATGAAACGCACCAGACTCGAATTGCCGGTGATGGGAAGAGGCAGGATGATTTTCAGATTCTTGTTGAAGAAAACTCAGCGAATGCCCAGAAGAGAAAGGGAGTCCTGGGAGCATGTAGGAATGTGAGTTGCTTCCGACATCATAATGCCCTGCAGACTGCAGTGGATACATGGGCCAGCTCTGGTTGCTGGTGTAACTTGATGATGGAATGAAGTTGGAAGTGTGAGGGTACAAGTCGGCAGCATTGTTCTCCAATGTCGGAAGTTTGAGCGGCAGTCCTAAATGCGGACGTCGGGTTTCCATGTCTAGTTTGACTGTCAGTGGTGCTTGCGCAGACAGATGGGACTGTTCACCTATCTGCTTGTCATTATAGTCACAAGATTTGCTAGCAACTGCCCTTGTTTTCAGCGTTATATGACAATTTACGCTAAAGTCAGGTCCGTTCATAGTGTTTGCAACTTAGCGAGAGTGAGAAAAAATTCAGATAGGCATCGCATTGGAATTCAGGGCCGTTCCATGATACCTGGTTAAAAGTGATTGGTTAATTGCACTCTGATACATGAAGTAGCGTCCCAAGAAAGTCATTAAAGTCTTCTGTTTGCAGAAACTTTTTTTTTGATATTATCAATATGGATGTATTGAAAGAGGGTTAGAGAAAAAAATTAATATTTTGTAGCGCTCCAAAGAATTCCGCTATGAATACACTGTCAACATTGCAAGAAAGTGTAAAAATATTTTGAATGCGACAAATAATTACGCATGATATTAATTGAATTAATAATAATAGAATACAGTGACAGCCCATTGTACGATTA